AAGTTTTTGTTGCTATAAATTTGCGACCTTCAAGCTTGGAGGCCTCGCTCAAAATATTAAAAGTGAAGTAAAGTCTTCTCACTCTCTCTCTCTCTCTCTCTCAGAAGCAAAATCTTTAATAAGTTTCTATTCTACTTGAATAGCCATTATTATGTTTAGGTCTGATTGGATAACTTAATTACAAATTTTGTTCAGAAGTCTTCTCTTTTTATCTCGCTCTCTCTCTTTCTCTCTCTCTCTTGCACACTCCTTTTCTTGTGATTTATATTTTATGAAATGATACTGAACCTGAAGGGATTATCGTTCGATAGCTGAGTTTTGATTACAATTTATCATTGAAATCTTGATACACATATTGAATAATGCTATTAATTAATTCCAATTCAATCAAATTAAAAATTTGCATACCTATTATAGAGCTCCTGCAATACCAAAGCCAAGTGAATAAATTAATTTTAAGAAAATTTCTTCATATACCTAGATTATTATTATACAAATGCCATACAGTGTTAAATAATTCCTAGAATGAGACACGTTATTAGCATAGAGAGATTGTGCCCACGTCGAGCGTGTCGGTCTCCTGTTTCTGGCACAGTCAACAGTTAATAAATAGTTGGGAAACCCAGATCTCGAAACCCCAATTAGTGCAAATGAACTAACATTTGGCACTCATCGAAAGGAAACCGATGGCCGTTGCCGTTTGTTCCCAATGCCCTGGCGCGGCATTCAAACGAGCTGTTAATTGATTTAGTCGTTCTCTGTATGGCTCGCCTCCGGGTACGGGTATGGGCACGGGTCCGGGCCTGGGTCTCTGCCGCTGCTTCTGCTGCTGCTGGCTGTGGCTCCATGCATTGTGGCCGTTCCCTGAGTGACGCCATTGCTGTCAGCACTACGCCGACTCGCGACCGTGACGACGCGACGTTGACGATGGCGACGAGGCCGCTCTCAGCTCTCATCTCTCAGCTCTCTGCGCATTACGTTCTACGCTCTGCTCTCCACACACGCAACTTGCTTTTTTCGTTTTTCTGTTTTTTTGGTGCCAAGAGATCGGGCAACGTTTCAATCCCCAAATACACGCACACACACACACATGCATACATACAGAGAGAGGCACACGGAGGCGGAGTTTTGTTTACATTAAACGAATTCTATTTGTCGAATGCGTCAGGCGCGATTGGCGCTGCGGGCAGCAACAGCAACAACAACAACGACAGCGCACAATTTTGTTAGCTATATAATCAATTCTTATTATTTTCTTCCTTTTGTTTTGTGGAATTTTATTTGACTTTTGCGTGGCCTGAAAGATATTTTAATTTCATTTGGCAAATATATCAGAAGCAGACAATTTGCCAAAGCACTCGCCATTTCAGAGAACTTTTCGCGGAACTCGCAGACAATAACCGCAAAGCAACAACAACAACAACAACAACAACAACAACGGCAACAATTCTGGGGGGCAATTGTGGAGCATTTTTCAGCACAGCATTTAAAGTCATGTATATATGTATTTACATATATATATATATATATATATATATTTATGTACATGCATATGTATGTGTATGCCATTTTTCTGCTGGTCTCTGCGGACAGGCCATAAATTATTTTTACGTTTGATTATTATTATTTCTTATTTCGGTTTTTGCGTGCTGTTTTCGTTGCTGCACATCCAGAAAGCAAGAAAAACGAATTTATTGTGAGTGAGGAATAAATTAAACAGGCATCCGAAACAATACAATTCCAATTGTATTGGCCTATGGCTGTGGCTGTGGCTCTGGCTCTGGCTCTGGCGATTAATTAATTGCCCAGGTGCGAGAGAAGATTTAAAAGAAATCGTTTTTCTTACTAAATGACATTGACCAAAATACAAAGAGCAAATGGAATTTATCAGAGCAACAACAACAACAAAAACACAACAGCAGCTATAAATCAATTTAAAGCGTTAAAAATATATAAATTTGTATACAAATTTGTTGGCCTTTCTTTGATTTTGCTTTATTTTCATCTGTTTTCCTGTCGCATTTCCTTGATTTTTCTTATTTTTTTCTGGCAAAATGTTTAGCCATTTAGCCCCCACTGCCTGGCCGATCGAAATTTCTTTGACATGACATCGCGCCTTGTATTTATAGCCATCGATTCCAGGGCAAAGCCAAACAGTGCGTCATATTAACTGGGTCAACAGTTCCGCCAACACAGCTCACACTGGATCTTGTGTGGTCCGCTGGCAATTGCAATTACTCTCTATTTATCTCTCTCTCTCTCGATCTCTCTCGCTCGCTCTCTCTCTCTCTTTCCCCATCTCTATTTCTATAATCCACCCACAGGCTTCATCAGGGAATTCCCAAACAAAAGTCGTCATCAACATCTCGTTTTTTCCTGTTTCAAGTTCAAATAATCATAATAAAGATAAGCATATACAATTCATCTCACTTGATATTTTCGCTTCTTGTACGGCGTTTGTTTTGCTTTTAATTTAATGTTAATGTTATTAAATGGCCAAATTGTTTACTATTATGGACGTTTGTAAACAAAATTATGTATACGACGCGTCCGCCGTCAGCAGCAAGTTGAGTTGTAGTACACAAAGCGGCGATCCCATTGATTCAGCGATGCTCTACCTCTCTCTCATTCATACTCCTTTGCTCCCCCGCCCTCTACCTCTCCCTCTCCCACTCCCTCTTGCTCTCTGGGCAATGCAAAAGAATACCAAACAATACCAAATGCCGGCCATGGCCAGCATTGTTTAAACTTGCCTCGTGCTGTAGTTTAATAAACATTTAACAATTAAACACACTCTAAACACACGATTCCTTTGCCGCCTCCACAGCCACAGCCACGACCACGCCCCCGAGGAGGTGTTCTATATACAAGTTGGAGCTGCGGCGCATTTGTTTTTGCACACTGACCTACAACAACAGGCAAAAGCAAACAATTGCAGCTTCCTCGGGCCACGCCCTGCCACCTGCCATGCCGCCGTCTCGCCCCGTCCCGCGCCGTAGCAGCTCGCAACGTTTATTAAGCCAGTTGATCCGCCGGACAACAAATAATCAAATAGTCAAAAATTCAAAATATTTACACACACGCTGCTGCGAGCAAAATTATGCAGTCTCTAGTTAAGATTTGTCCCCTCTCTCTCCCTATCTCCCTCTCCATCGATCTCTGTCTCACTCTTTAGCTGTGCTCATTTCTTTGTTTAAATATTTACACTTTTGTTTTGTTGCAATTCCTAGCCCAGATCTAACCAAATAGTTAGGTTTTATGTCTTCATAAGTAGATTCCCGGATTTGTTTATGCCCCCAGCTTTTATGCAGAACTCGAGTCACGTGCTACGGCTACTTTATGTGGAACGCATTATCCAAATAGAAACAATATACATACATACACATACTTCAATATATTTTTTAAATATCTAAGACCAATTTGTTATTGTTTTTTCCCACGACTTTGCTTTTTGTAAATATTTATGCGATATTTTAGCATTCGGTTGGGCGTTAAGTAGGGAATTGCTTATGGAATTCTGTTTGGATAAAACTCGGTGACAAGCCAACGCAATAAATATATTTATAAACAGTAAAGTGAGAATGAAGAACAAATACAATAATTTAGCGAAAAGAAACAAATGTTTATAAAGCAAAACCATTTTTATATCAAATGTTTTGTGTGCATACTTATTGATGTATATAATCTGATTTTATATGATGAGAGTGGAGACCTCTTAAGTAGTTCTCTATTTTTATTTCAATTAATGCTATTTGTTGATTTTTCATAATTTATAAATCAATATATAAATACATAATACATAATATATTTATATTAAAATATTGCTTAAAGTTCAAGAATTTCATTTAAATCCATCCATTTTGAGATGTTTAAGGAAATCTTTCGAAAATGAACTGTTCAGCTGAATAAAGTCTTTAATATATTTTTTTTTACATTCATTGTATATTAACAGTTTTAAAAAATAACTTTTAGTTATATAAAAATAAACAAATTATAAGTTTATCAAGCATTTCATCTTAAGCAAGATTTCAAGACCTTAACCGATACAAAAAGCTAACACAGTGAATATTTTCTATATTTATTTACTCATAATGTATTATACATAAGGTCTTCATACTGAACAATTTATCATAACTAGATCCATCGATTTCATCTAACCATCATACATTTGCTCTCAAGTGCGTGAGCTATTCAAGCCAAATACATTTGTTGGCTCAGCTAAAACTTGTTTCTTATCAATTTTTTTTATGTTTTGGCTGGCCAGAATGTTGCCACACTTGGCACTCAAATAGCGACAGTGGGGCCATAAACACCTTGCCTGCTCAACCGGATTACAATTTCAGATTTCCAATTTCAAAATGGCCGCCGCTGCCGACGTCGCTGCCGCAGCCGACATTTGCGCAAGATGGCCAACACGACGTGTGTTTGGCTGCCAGCTGCCAGTTATTGTGCGATCTGGATGCCATTGCCAAACTACCATGCAAACTGTGGCAATATCATAAAAACCTACACACGCAGAGTGAGCGAGAGGGGGAGAGTGAGTAAGAGATACACAGATAGAGAGAGGGAGCGAGAGAGAGAGAGAGAGAGAGAAAGCACACGCAACGGGCAGTCTCAGTTGAATGGGGCAGTTGGTGCGGCATTCAGCTGTCGAAGCTGGCGCAATAAAATTGAACAATTTATAGACTATTCGGTGCGCAATAATTGCGCCAAATTGAACCGAAAATTAAGAAAGAAAGAAAGAGACAAAGCAGCAGAGTAAGTAAAAGAGGGAGAGAGGGAGAGAATTTAAAGAAAACGAAATACTTTTAAAGGCAACCGACAGACGATCCGTTGTGGCTCACAAAAGTCATTTTTACTTGGCACTTGGTTTGGGGTTTTGTTTAGCTTTTGGTATAATAGCCGGCACTTAAAAATCCGTTGACTCACCCAGCCAGGTGAGAATGGAAAATTGAAAATGCTGTGCGAAAGGAAGCGCAAACAGGAAACAGCCACAGCAATGAAATTAATGCGATTTAATCGTTCCTCAGCTATCCAGCTATATAAATTACAAATATTGCAATGCCAGCAAATCCAGCAGCCCAGGCGGAATTTCGCTGATTGTGTGATAAGTGTTGAACTCACATAAGTATGCGGCATGTGGCAAGCTGTTGGCTGCGACTGCGACGGCTGCTGCGTGCAGCCGCTCTTCGATCTTCGATCTTCGAACTTTTGGCATCTGTTTCATTTCAACTGACGCGTATTGTCGTCATTGCCTCTTGGTAATTGTTCTTGGGCTTCTTATTGCTCTTGTTGTTGTTGTCGCTCACATAATTTTTTTGCTTTGTTCTTGGCTTTTGTACATTTTATTATATTCAAGCTCATTCCACATTTCAGCGTTTTTTATTGCGCTGTTTTTCCTTTCGACTCTTTTCTGTTGGCCTTGCGGGACAGCGCACCTGTGTGGCATGTGGCATGCTTGATCGGATGTGTCGGAGCATGCTGCTCCAGGAATAATTGGCAGTCATCTCATGAACTCCAGCTAGGCATACAAAAGACTATGATAAATGATAATTGTGGAATACTAGAGAATCGGGCAGAAAATGAAATGATACATATACATACATATATACTAACACATATATACATATATGTCTAACTACCAATGCATAGCCTTTCAAGTGGCTCGCAGGGGGAGATCGCATATATTTAAATTTGGGTTAATTACTGGCGACATCCTGACGCAGCGGCAGTCCGTCGCTCAATTGTACGGCGTAAAACGAGGCGCTGACAAATATTTTGACATGGCTTCGACTCCCAGACATTGTCGCTGCGGTCCACACTTGATGCTCGGACTCGGGTTTTCGGTAATGTGTGGTCGCCACTTGAGATCCGGTAGCGGAGGAGTCGGAGAATGTGTAATCCAATATCCAAATTTCAAATACCAAAACAAGAGCCAGCAAATCTGCGGCGTCTGGCACATGTCAGTTGAGTTATTAATCTAAAGATTTGTAATACGAATAAGTCGATGTTTTGGTAATTAGTAGAGTCTCTAAGCATTTGTATTTTCATAATGACAACTAATTAGCTATCAGTTTTAATTAGCAAAAATATAAAATGAAATTCTGACAATCAACACTAAGTCGAAGTAGATCCAATCCATATTAAGCCATATTAATCTCCTAAATCCCTAAAAAGCAAGAGCAAAGCAGGCTACGTAAATTGACTAAATCAAGTTCGAATAAAATCACTTTTAGTTTACTTTACAGATAAATTTTAGATTTTAGTAAAGCCTTCTACAAAATTCTGAAATGAGACGTTCGTTGAAATCTTTCCCGCTCAGACTGAGCTACGGCCTTATAAGCACCAGTCGAGCACTCAGTGCCAGTAAGGGCTCCAAAACAATAAAGGGAACGAATAGCCATCTGAAGCAACTTGATGAAAAGCCTTGCCCAACAAAGCGTACGTAGAACAAGTCACTTTGAAATACGGTTTGATATTAATGATGACATATTGTTAGACAGGCAGTGACCCAGGTCCTCGTTGCAAGCCAAACGAGGGGGAGAAGAAGGAGGGGCAGAAGAAGGAGGGCGATAAGAAAAATCCAAGCAAAAAATGAGCTGCATTTAAAATCACTGAACGGGACGAAAGATCTCTTTAAAAATGTCGAATGTTCTTATTTTTAGGAAACTGACCAAATGGCGGCGCCCAGGCACAACAATTCACATAATAGATCACAGATTATGCAGCAACATGAATCACTTGCATATATAGTTCACTGCTGGCTGGCGAGCACACGAAGATCATAAAACGCAGCGCTCTAGACATTATAAAGCCATAAAGCAACAAGTAAGATCCAAGCGAAAATAGCTGGCCAGGCCAGGGAACTAACGAAACAAGAAGAAAAAAGTATTATAACCATAAAGAGTGATAAAATAAAGACTGTGTAGTTCCATCGACATTTTATGACTTTGAGGCTGCTGCCCCTGTCAAAGTCTAGCAACGATCTCACAAATTCGATCCGAACTAGATCAGATATATACTAAAATGATTTGGCGCAAAATAGAGAAACCCAATTGGAAATGATTATTGCATAATTCGCTGGAAAACTGCATTCTATCAGCTGGCAGGTGCTTAAAAGCTCCCACGTAGCTCTCATCTCAGATCACTGCCATCCATGACAAAAATATTCAACTGGCTGCCGCTGCTACTGGAACGGGAATTCATAAATTTCACACCCAGACCCGAGACCCAAGATCCGAGACGCGAGACGCGAGACTCGAGAGCCAAAGCACCAGTTTTTATGGCAATTCAATTGCACTGCCACTGATATTTGTTTCCTGCTGCTACTGCAGCCCGGATTCCCTGCCCCATTCCCGGGCAGGTTGCAGCCGTATGGCCATGTACGATTCGGTTTTCCCTATGGCTAATGTAAACAATACCAAATCTCGACACGGGCCGCACTTGTGTCGACTGCCGACTCAACAGTCGAAATACGATTTTTTTTTTTTTTTTTAATTTTTCATCTGTACTTTTCCTTGGGTCTAGGAGCCAACCGATCGATCGGACTATGTGCGTACATATATGTGTGTGTGGGATTGTATACAGCACATTTTTGTCTTCTTAGGCTCTCTGTATTTTGGGTAATTATTACTTTTTCAATGTAAACAAATTGAATGCTGCTAATTTTAGTTAAATACTTGCACATATTTCTCAGTTTTACGATTTTGGACTCCCATTTTGCCGACCATTCAAATGAACAGTAAATTCTTTCCAACTGGAATGTCGCAATTATTTTCAGTATTTTTCTAGTACATAGAATATGCTAACTCTTTAATCTGGCATTCACAAGTTTTAGGTATTTATTTTCTGTAGTTGTCAGCCCATTGACTTGCTCGACGGCTTTGTAAAGTGCCGAAAATCAAAGCGATTGACGCAGTCGACGATCGACGGGCGGTCGAGCATCCATCTATCAAGAGAGTGTCTAAAGGCTGGCAACGGAGCCGCAGTTGAGTGTGGAGCACGCCCATAGCTAGCTTCCAGATACGAGATGAGCAGCCGCCGTGTGTCTGCTCAACCTTTCAACGCATAAAAAGCCGCCACGCAAAGTTTTCCAAAAGTGTCTGCGCGTTGTGTTCTTTTTCCTCTTTCAAATTATCGACGAAATTAATCTTAATCTTGAGTTTGCCCAGGCAATCTGGCAACACATGTGCTAAACGGTGTCTGCCCCGTGTGTGTGTGTGTGTGTGTGTGTGTGTGCGTAGAGGTGTGGGAGAGAGAGCAATACAACTACTCACACAGACACATGCACACATGTATACGCATGCTCATATCTATTTCAAGGCCTTGCCATCCTTTAACTGTTGTTGTTGCTTCTGCTTCTGCTGCTGATGTAGCTGTGGTTGTTGTTGTTGTTTGCTTTAGTTTCTGCTTTTGTGCGCACGCCGATTGAAGTTTGGCCGACGTTGACGTCGACGTTCGTCAAATTTGTTGGCATCAGCAAACGGTTTTTATTCAACAAGCAAATACAACAACAGCAACAAGAGCGCAACCACAGCTACTACAACAACAGCTATGATCACGATGATGCCGATGACGAGTAAGACAGCCGAGCAAGAAGAAGACGGCATGCGCTTTGCATGCGCCGCATTGCACTCGCGCGACGCGACGGCCAACCAATTGGACCACCCAAAGCGTTGAGCATCTGCACTCCTCGCACTCCTTCACCCGCCTATGGGCCCTAGCCCCTCTAACCGCATAATTCCATAATTCTCTAGCCTCCGTTGCCGCTTTAGTTTTTACGATAAATTACAACAGCAACATTGCTGCAATGCGGCTATCATTCATTCATGCGGGCATCCCAACTCCCCCGCAGCCGTCCTCAATCTTCGTGTAAACATGTGTAAATCATGACCCGTTGATGGCATCCACGTAGACAAAGCGCTGGGGCGCAGGGCACAGGGCGCAACATGTGACGTCCTCGTCGGCGTTGATGCTGCTGCAGCTTTTGCACTGCGACCCCAAAAGTTTTCCATATGTATGTAGATAAATGAGTTGTGAAAAGCTATTCCAGTTCACAGTTCCGCAACCTATCAATCCTTCCAGCATCAGTTCGATTATCAACAACTTTCACTCATATGCAAATAAATGACTTATCAAAAGCTGTTCCAGTTTGCTGCCCCGCAACCCAAGCCCATCAATGCTCATTCGACTTTCGAAAAGTACAAATGATATCCGAATGCAACTGCTACCATTTGGCGCTGCTGTTGGCCGCCAACGTAGATGACATTCCCATTCCATTTCAAATTCTCGTAATCGTATTGTCCCAAAAGGCTAAAGCAAATATTATTTATGCGCGTCTCTCTCACACACACTCTCTGTGTGTGCTGCTAGTTTGCCCTGAGAACTTTTTTCGGCTTGCGAACATACGGTTTGGAGGCAAACGCCGTGCACTTCCGAGGAGTCGAGAACAATTTTGTGTGCGTTCTGTTTGTTTATACTTAAAGCGTTATTTCAATAAACATATGCAAGGCAAAGGGCAAATTTTTGATATTGAAATTTTGGATACATTCTTAATAATGTGCACTTGAGCATCTAGTTCTAAAACAATTTCAACATATTATATTTTCAAATCAAGTAGTTTATGATAGTGCCAATCCTTCCTTTGCAACTATTTAATGTAATGAATTTATTTTATGTAAGATGGAAAATCGCGCCAAATTCTGTATTTGAATTTTGTGTTTTATAGCAATTAGCTATATGTAGGACTCACACTATAGTCTGGCAGCACTACAACAGAACACGGTGACGTCACACTTGCTCAACTTTAAAGTGTTGATCAGCTCTAAAAATGTTTTGTATTTTAACAGCACTGACAAACAGTGTTGCCAGGTTTTGAGACATAAAAATAGCAAAATCGTCTCTAAAAAATAGCTGAAAATAGCTAAACAAATTTTAAAATAGCTTACAAAATAGCTGAAACCTTTATGCATTATGCATTTACTTTAAATTTTATTTTTAAATGTTATTTAATAATGTTACAATTTGGTCCACATCCAAATCATCATCAGAATTATATTTTTGATTAACTGGAATCATTTTTAAATATTTGGAAGGCACGATATAATCATGGCAGCATTTGCCATTGCTGCGCAAGAAGAATTAGCGATGGTATAAATTCACAACTAGTGATGGTATAATTACGACAAAGTCGTGGTGGTAGTATCGCGCAGATCATTACGTACAATTTGGGACTTAATCGAAAAATGTTTTTCTTTTTTTTTTTTTGCTTTAAATACTAAAATCAAATTCAAAATATTCGTTTGTAAAATAGCTAAATTTATAGCTAATAGCATTTTCAAAATTTTCATAGCATTTAGGGTTCAAAAATAGCTAAAAATGCTATTAAATAGCTAATATGGCAACACTGCTGACAAACGCTGATCGTTTCCAGTGTGACCAGGTCATGCATACTGGTGGTGTTTTTTTAGTATGAGAGTGGGAACCGCAGTAGCAGTCAAAAAGTGATTCACGCTCGCGAACGCTAAGAGCAATTTTAACAAATAGAAAATTATTTCGCACTGCCGCCAGACTTACCATTAGAAAATTTAAATAATTTAATAAGGCCGCCGCCGCGAGTATTTTGGAAAGTGTAAAATCTACAGCCCGCTACGTTTGCGTCGGCTCAAACATTTACTGCGCGTGTGTACATGCGTGTGTATGTGTTTGTGTGAAAGGAGGAGGAGAAGCAACACACAAAAAAAAGTGTACAGACGACGCGCAGACGCAACGATCTGCAGTGGTTAATTAAAAGTACCGAAAAAACGGGAGTGAAAATTAATTAATTACAGGCGGAAATTTCGCCAAAAAGCTGATCACGAGTTGGTTAACAAGCAGTAAACAGCGATAATAACAAAATGGGTTGTGCCGTGAGTACAGCACGAGATAAAGAAGCCATCGAACGTTCCAAAAACATCGACCGGGCGCTCAGAGCCGAAGGAGAACGCGCCGCCTCTGAGGTTAAGCTGCTGCTTTTGGGTGCGTCTCTAACAACTTTCCAATATATAGTATATATTATATACACATACACCCATATATACGTACTAATTAAGACCTTAAGTTTTCGCCTAAAATTGCGACGCCATGCACAAATATTTGTGAGCTATTTTCAAGTGGGGTGGGTTTTTTTTCACAACTGGAAGCTAACGAA